TTCTCAAGAATCACTGGTTTAATTAGCATTGTATTTTTAACATACAACACAAACACTGGTAATCTAACATTTTTGATTATGCTCTGTAGATTTCGATTCATTCCCTAAAAGATTTATTATGGAAAGTATTTTTTTTCTTTCCGTTTAACATTGTCTTTAAATGCTGGTTCTCTAAGATGCAAATACAAGTAAAATGTGTTGCCTAGGAAAAAAACTGTATTGTACAATTATTTTGCGGTAGTTTACTGCCTGTCGTGAGTCTTGATTGTGACAAGAGAAGACATTAAATTGACAATATCCTACCGTATTTTGGAATCACAGTATGTTACTGCTGGAATTTCACTGTAAATTTACAGCCATTTCTGAGAGTGTGGCTGAGCACAGGGGTGCCCACAGCTGTACGCACTGTGTGTACCTTGAAATTTTTCTAAGTAAAACAGAAAAGAAGAATCTTATTGGTCAGTTTACTTTTGTAAATTTGGCGGCTTGGTGCTTTTCTGTAAGCAAAAAATGAATGAATGGAGTTTGAATCCTCTCGTAGTTCTAAGAGAGGTTGTTTGGATGCTGCCAGAGCTTTTACCGTGTGCGCGGTTCTGGCGGGTCACTGATTTATGAGCTTTGTGTGTGTGTGTGTGTGTGTGTGCGTGCGTGTGTGTGTGTGTGTGCGCACGTGGTCTGGCGAACTGAAGCGCTTACGGGCCACCCGGTTGGACAACTGTTTAACCCGCTACTGGTTCGTTCACACCAATGATGAAATGACGACAAAACCTTCATACAAACACGGTGTTTTAATACCGTCGATTTCTGTATTCAGCTGTTCTTAGATCGGCTGCAGGCATTTCTGTCTTTTACATTTTTCCAGACTCTAGATTTGACAATGGAATAAAGTCCATTCCGCCACCTAAATGCATGTATAAAGCTGCCTTCTGCATGTTCCCCACTGTCAACTTTTAACATTTTTTCCTTTTTATTTTTCCACCAAATCTCTATGACCGCAGCGCATTTAATAACAAACATTCATCAAATCTAGCCAGACCGCAGCGCATGGAAGACCCAAAAACGTTGTCCTCCAGGTAAGGGGTGTTTACTGTTTACTTCGGGACAAATTGTAACAAACCCACTGAACTGATTGACAGGTGCCATCATATCAATTGAACAAGTGCGTGCTCTTGACATTCAAAGTGCGTAACAGAGGTGATGAAACACCCCATAGCCCCCTCACCTCAAAAATTAATCTGGCGCCACTGGTTTGCAGTGGCAGATGTGATGATGGACTGTAGAGAGGGTGGAGGGATTCCTTGGGTGGCTGATGGTGTGGTTGCCTCTATTCTAAAAGAGTGACTTCAGAAGTGGCTATGGGGAGACTACATAGTTCTAGGGCAGGGGTGCCCAAAGTCGGTTCCCAAGGGCCGGCATCCTGCACGTTTTAGTTCTCTCCCTGGTGGTAGTAACAACCTTTTCAGCTTGTCAATGTTCCTCTTAGGCCTTCTAACAAGCCATTACTTGATCCAGGTGCTTTAAACCAGGGAGAGAACTAAAACATGCAGGATGCCGGCCCTCAAGGGCCGACTTTGGGCACCCCTGTTCTAGGGTCTGTCTAGACCAGGGGGGGGCAACTCCAGGCTTCGAGGGCGGTCTCCTGCAACTTTTAGATGTGTCTCAACTTCGACACACCTGAGTCAAATATTGAGGTCGTTAGCAGCACTCTGGAGAACTTGACTGCTCTTAGGAGATGATTGATCTGTTGGTTTCAACAAGGGCGTAGATCCCATCTCATTATTGGGGGGGGGACCATAAACAGGAAAATTTCTTAAGACCAATTTTAGGGGGGTAGGCAAAGTTACAGTGAAATGTAATGTAAAATGTGGTTTAAAGAGTTTTTAAACCACATTCAAGCTGCAGGACCAAAAATGACTAGTAATGCACATCAAACATATTTTTTTCAGTAAGCAACCTATTGAGAAATAAACTAAAACTCAAATGTTGCTTCTATACGAATTTTCTTCAGTCTCACTGATCTAATCTCTTTAACCTTTACAAAATTTTAAGGTTCTAAATAAAAAAGCTTCAATGAGTAACTATTAAAATTCCTCATGAACGTTGATTTATTGAAATGGCTCCCAATACAAGTTATGGGTTATTTAAATTATAACTTAAGTTGCTTTATTTTTAAGCCTTTTTTTTAGTTTTGCCATGTCCTGGATGACAGAGAACCAACAGGTAGATAGAAATTAATATCTTGGGGGTATTATAACTTAAACGTAACATTTAAAGCACAAGGATTTATATAGAAAAATATTCAGATTTGATTTTGTGGTTTTAAAGGCTCTATGTTGAAGACTGAGAAATAAAGGCAGCTTTCTGCTTTTTCTATCTGTTCTCTCTTCTGTTCTCGGCTCCCACACTCTGAGCTGAGTTCACCCCCCAGTCCCTCCTCCCATTTCAAACTGTTCTAATTAACTAAAAGTTAAAGAGTTAAACATGAATGAGATGTTTGCTACCTTTAACGAAAAAGCTTAAGTCTATGAAAGCAATGTAGCAGTTTTAGTAATGAGGCAGATAATCATGATTCAGCCAAAGTAAAAAAAAAATAACCAACTGCAGTCTGCTCTTTATTGTTAATGTGTTTCTTTTTATTGAGCAGTAAAAGTAAATAAAATGTGTTACATGTCTTTTAAGTATTTACTTACTGGAGGGTTTTATGTTTGTGAGGCAGAGCTACAGCTAACAACTAGCTCCTCACTTCAGTGGCTCTAAGGATCCTGTGCCCTTCAGCAGCGCTCTTCCTTCAAGTTGGACTGAACCATTGTTCTAATGATGGTGGGGGTAGGGGACCTAAAAATAATTCTTATTTTTTTCTGAGATAAATGGCAGATTTAGTTCGTTCTTCATTTCTTTTGCCTTTTCACATTGATTATTAAAATGCCAATGTTTCTTCAACAATATTTTTGGAGGGGACAGTTCTAGATTTTTCCAAGATTGGGGGCGTCCGGACATTGTAAAAGGAACTTCCATTCCAGTCACAGAGCAACTTAGGCCATAACGCAAGGTCAGAGCGGCAGCCATTATCCAGAGAGACCTGATCCAGCAAAGAGGGAACCAAATTGGCCAGCTCAAGCAAGCATGAGATGAGGGAGCAGCCCTGGGGCTTAATCCGCTTGGAGAAATAGGGTGTTGGACGAGGAAGCGGAATGTTTGGACTTAGGTGGTGGTGCTGTTGTCTGTTGAGTTTCTGCGGAGGAACGCTGAGATGAGGATATGTTGGTGTTGCTTGGCCAAGAGATTCTGGAAGTCCACGGTGAGGAGCCTGCTGCTCCGATGTTGGTCTATGAGCAGGCATTGGAATGACGTCACCGAAGATGTGGGAGAAGGAAGACGCTGAGGAAAATGTGTTGGTGTTGCTTGGCTGAGTGACTCTGAAGCGGTGGTGGCCAGGGAGAACAAGCCTGATGTCTGATGCTTCTAAGCCACGGGATTGAAATGTTGTTGGAGGTGAAGGATTAACCTTAGACGGATGTTGAACTGTCGGTAATGTGGTGTGAGACAGAGCTCAAGTATCAAAGATAACAGAGCGCAGGCGTTTGCGACTTGGAGCTTGTCTTGTTAATGGAAGAGAATGTTCAGCAGCAGATGGGTATTGAAGATCATCATTTGAATCAGAAGGGTAGAGCTGAATAGCTACGTCGCATTCCGTGGTGAGTTGAATTTGTAGATTTGTAATCGTAGCAACAGTCACGGGTCTGACGGTTGATGAAACCTAACAGACTGAGATGAATGGGTGAGCACAGTATAAATAGGCTGCTTGGAAAATTAGAGGTGTGGTTTGGGCGTGGCCCAGCTCCCAAACTTAAGTTAACACGTTAACTTAATTTAGAGTGTTCACGTTCCTGCCAATATTCAGGCCCTCAAAAGTGAAGAACAGACTGTATTAGTAAAGGTGCTCCAAACTGAGGTAGAATTGAGCCAGAAACTAACCATTTAGAGTGAGACTTGAGAATGGAGAAGCAGCTTTAGTTCACACCTTTAATATATAGCTGATACCATGTACAGCCGAACCATAAACATTTTTTGTTTATGGGGAAAACACACATAATGGCTTATTCTTTTACTGAAAGCTCATGTAATGGAGTGTAAGAAATGTATTTTTTGAATCTTAATTTTTGAATATTGCATCAATATGCATTGCATATTGATGCAATATGCAATGCATCAATAGTATGTCTAAAACTCAATATGTCATCTTGTGGATGTTGGAAGTTTTGTTGACACGTCACTGTATTGTATAAAACTAAGTCTGAGTTTGAATTCATAACATTTTCTCTCAAGAACTGTGACTTTGAACATGTTTGACCTGTCTACATTTGTTTAAATAAATTTCCTGTTTTCCTTACTTAAAATGCATATGCATAGTTTATATAACCTGACAATAGGATATCCTTCACAAAATAACAGCACAACACAATAAACTATTAAAAAAACATTGCATTTATTTCCTCCCTGATAACTCAGAGTCTAAGACAAAGCTGTCAAGTCTCTTCACTACCATTGGAAGAAGTGATCAGTAAGGCCTGAAAAGAGAAAAATCATGCAAGCAATCAAGACCATTTCAAATTATATTCTGCAAATTATACAGGAAATATGAGTTATTTATTGAGTACAACCAAACTCTCAAAAGCTCCTGGCTTATTGTTCATAAATCAGTGAAACAAATGATAGAAATCAAGAACATTAAATGAAATATTGAAGGTAAAACAAACTTTCTTAAATATGATATGGTCATTGAAATGTCTAGTCTTAACCTAAAGGTTAGTATAGTTTAAGGTAACGCACAGAAGATAATCTTCAAAAGTAAAATTAATATGGCAAATATTTGTGTGCTTAAATATATTCTGTAGAAAGGCCTTATTTATCCTAATTTAGTTTCCCTAAATTCTCTATACTAACACATTCTTTAGAGTTACTCGGACATAATAATTTAAAGTTTATTTTAAAAAAAGATGCAATTATTAACAGAGGTCTTACATATTCTGCACTTAACATTTGATCTTTGGTGTCAAAATTCAGATCTGGTATTTCCATTAATCAAACAATACAGTCCTATTGATATTTGATCACTTACATTAAAAAAAAAGAACTTAAGTTCAATGTCTTCCCAGTATTACATAGCATAACTTGGACATGTTAAGCTAACTATAAGATTATCTATTTAACTAGAGTTAAGTTTCTTAAATAGGCAAGTCTAAGTATTTTTTTCTTGCTCTGTATTTGCCTTCATTAAAAAAAATCAAGCGTTTTGCTCCTTTTCTCTTACAGTCTCAAATTGTTGTGACGATGAACAAAATTGCTGTTTATTTATTATAGCACTGTGCTGCTATCTTTTACAAGTTTAATGAAAATATAAGTACCTGTTTGAAAATCTATGTTATTAAAGCACTTATTTAAAATTTGCTTATTGCATTTAGTTAATTTTTGAATGCAACTTGAAGCTATAGATTAGGTCTGAGAAGCATTACCACATATGATGTTGCTTAGGCCTCTACCTACTGTAAATTATCTTGATGAATACACAGCAGCCTCTGGTTGAGCACAGATATGGAGTGATCCTCCCTTCCAATAGTGATTTATGTGCTCTGTAGCACAGGGATCAGCTCAAACCTTTTTAGTTTGCTTGTCGCTATAACAATGAGAAATGTAACCACATTAGGTATTCCTTTTCTGTCAGTTGATTCCATGTTGACATCTTTCCTCAGCCCTTCTTATTTGTCAAGAAGCTTTACAAGGCTCTGCCGAAGATCGTTCAGGTCAAAAATCTTAATGTCCAGAATTTCTATGGCCCTCTGGATCTCAGTATCCATGCGATCTCGTTCCTCCAGAGAATTACTCAGTGTCTGCTCTGTGTTCTGGATGCGACGCTCCAACTCTGAGCTTCGCATCTCCATTTCCTACAGTGAGCATAAGACATTGTTACAATAAGAACCACAAACAGAGACTTAGACAATATAATTGCTCATTCCTCATACCATCATGAAGTTACTGGGAGTGTGTAGAAAGTGACATTAAAAAATGATTTTAGAATGAACTAAGTCTTGGAAAATAATTGATTTGGTCAAGATTCCATTTTTCATTACCTTACTATAGTTTAATTTTCAGTAAGATAAGGAAATGAAATATTAGACCTATATAGTGCTTTATTAAGACACCCTAAGACACTTAAAATGAAATTACTAATTTCCATTCATGCACACATTTACACGCTAACTGTGGCAAGTTCTGGATCACAGCCACAGCTGCCCGGCCGTATTGCACAGTTGGGCCTTCCGACCATCACCAGCAGGCAAGAGGGGCGTCTTGACCAAGGACAAGAGAGAGGCGTTCATCACATACAAGTAGTCTAGAAATGCTCTAATATATAGTAAATGCTAATATTTTCTTTTCTTTTTTTTTTTTAAACTGTTTTAGCATTTGGGGCTCCCCATGTTTCTTTTTTGAAATAGGGTTATTGGGAAGGAAAAAGAGAATGTGAAGAGGAAAAATGGAACTTCTGCCTAAGCAGTCTTCATTAGACACTTTAAAATAAGCACCTAATGCCTAGTTTCTTCCAATAATCTTAAGGATGCCCCAATTATCAGGATGGCTCTTAAGATAATCTTGAGAGAAATTCCTGTCTGTGGTAAGAGTGATCTGGTCCTCTCTGAAGGGCGTTGGGACTGCTCTGATCTAAATCATGGATATTCAACATGTCCAATATTGCATCATGTATGGTGTTCCCTGATGACTAGTGGTGTGCTGATCGATCATCCACCAATAATCAGATGATCCGTGAAAAAGTGTATGATCAGTGATCGCCTATCACCAGTATCTCATACTTTGCAGCCTGCAGAAGCCAGTGAGCAGCACATCTCCCCCTTTTCTCCACACTGCGCAAGCGTACTGCAGCAAATCATGAGCAAAGTTGGGTGGAACTTTGACGCTCAGAGTGGTGGGAATTTTGCGTCTTGCAACGAAAAAATTATCTCAGGGTGACGCATGTCAAAATGCATCAACACAGTGATTCAATATGAGATTTAGAAAACAAACAAGGCTATATTGAGGCTTACTGCAGAAAAAAAAGACATCTGGAGGTACCAGATAGCAGGTAAAGCAGCGCACAATTCCCAACACTTACTTGGATGAGCATAACGGTCAGAAAGCTTAGCAAATAACCTGAAAAATGATTTAAGTCATCGAGATAGTGGTGGAAGATGCTGGGCTCTGCTCTTACTTTTGGATCGCTGCTACGTGCTTCTGAGATGCAATATTTCAGACGTAGCGGGATTGGAGCTCTACCAGACAGTATTCTCTCACATTAAACTTCTCCTTAACTTAAAAAAAGTTTGAACATATGTCAGTGTTGTGTTCAAGACCACCTAACCCGAGACCAAGACAAGACCAAGACCAGAGTGTATCGAGACCCCATCACACTAGTCAAATGATCAACAGCCAGGTGTTACTA